TGTGGTGGTTAAGATCACAGTGTTAATCAGGGTCGATGCGATATCTTGTTTTATGGAAGCGGGTGTGAACAATTTAACTTGTGTTTCACGTGCAGCTGCTCTTCGGAGGGGGGGGGGGGAGAAGGCCCCATTTAACAAAGTGCATGACAACACATGAACAAATGGCTGAGCAATTCATCGTGACCATAACAAGAAGAAGTTGAAGAAGAAGCAGAAGAAGAAGAAGAAGAAGAAAAGTCTCGCAGTAAACATCACGCAAATTAAACGCTCAATAAAGTGAAGCGGAATGCGCACATTGTTTTTTTTTTGGAAATCATTCACTTGAACGACCAAAAAGCGCAAATGCCGTAAAATTAAGCACAGAGTCAAGGTGCGCATGAAAGCAAACAAGACGACCGTAAAAAAACAGAAAAAAGCCAGGAAGATCACTGGACTTTGGCAATCTTTGTGGTTCGTTTGCGCTGTGCAAACACAGTAAAAAAAAGGCAAACTAAATAAAACAAAAGAACACGGCATAAAACCCAACGGCTCCTTCCATCTTCCACGTCGCCGTTAACCCCATTATCCCCCAGAACGCGCAATTCTCTGTACGCGACGGGTAAAGGTGCAGCCCTGCAATTGCGCACTCACGACCACTGCCAGCGTGCCATTTGCCCGCTCACGCCACCAGTCACCACAGCGGGTATTTGGGGCCTTTCTCTGCCACGTCGACCTGCCCATCGACTAACTGCAGTGGGTGAACAGAGGTCACGGCGGGAGGGAAGGAGTGGGGGGGAGAATTGAATAAACTTACTTTATTGTTTCCACCTGCTGTATTGTTTCTCGCACATCCGATTAGCACGGTTGGCTACGTACGGTGCGAAAGAAGCGCAATATGCATACGTACAACTGCCGCGCCGGAAGATCGAATTTAAGTGATCGACCTCTGGATGGAAAGTCCAGTGTGCTAACCATTACTCCACGGCAGGATACCCCCCACCCCCCCCCCCCCCACGTGATGCCATCCGCTCACTGTAAAACGGGCTGTATAGTTGCGAGGTTTTTTTTGGTTTTATATGTTACGAGCCGTACAGGTGAGTCATCCACGTCCCTGTTTTCAAGAAAGTGGTTACAGCTCTCTGAACACCGATTAGAAGCTTCTTCAAACCGGCCAGTGTCAGCATTTCAGGCGGAGTTTGGCTTCGGTTCAGGCAATAAAAAAAACGGCTTGAAAATGCCAAGCATCGGCCAACGTAAACAGATGAATCACTTACTTTAATCACGGGCGACACACACGCATGAAAAGCACGATATTACGCATAAACTCCGGATGAGAAATCGTGAATGCATTTACACTGCAATCTCACTCCACCGTCTCAATGCTGGCTTCAAAACAGAGCTCAGACACGGATGGTGGCGCCAAGCACATGCAAAAGTTAGGGCCCCGTGTCGCTCAAGCGTGGGCGATAGTCATGAAAATGATGGATGCTGCAAAAATCGACCCGAATTCAGATAATAATAAAAATGTCATCCGTCATTCTAATAACATCGACAGCCGAAGCTGTCCAGGGCTGGGCTGTGGAAAACACTGAATCCTGAATAACACTTAAAATAATGTGGTTGTTATTAATCTCATGGCTTAATGATTCCACACACCTGTGACGTTACGTTGCTAAGTAAATAATATACCGCACCTGAAAATTAATTCTGCTTCAGGCACACAATGTCCTGAAACCACCATTGTGCAGAGATTCACACGGTTCTGTAACAACGCACGTGAAATCCGGTAGGGCCGGATTGATCTGCGGACCTGGTTGAGTGACGTTTTCACGAAAAGTCAACACACGACGTTAAATAAACAGCTGATTAAATAGACCCAGAGCGAGCGATGATGAGGCTTCAGAAAGGGGCAACATTTACACGAAACATGTGGCTGGCTGACAGCAGAACCACATCTGCCATCTAGTGTGCGCGGAGGGGAAGGCTGTTCGGGTTTGGAAAGCGGAACTTGATCGAGACAAGCGACAAATCGACTGCGCCTCGAGAAAAAAAGAGTGTACTGATTGTCTACCACCCGCTCTGATATATGGTTTAGAAACATGGTCGTGAACATCAAAAGGCAAACACAAAGTGAATTGCACAGAGACGCATGGAGGAGAAATGTAAGTTGGAATTATATAATGATACATAGAGAAAGAGGAATGTGAATTAAATAACATACACAGGTTAAGGACGTAACTTAACACATTTAAGAAAAAGCAAGTGAGCAGGACACGTCGCTAGAAGTGATGAAGGCCGTTGTAGTGGCAGCCAAAAAGGTAGAGAATGCGTCCGAGTAAATGCCCACCAGAGTAGGAGTGGTAAAATCATCAGCTCATGTGCACGTAGGTTATTGGTTAGACTATTGAATTTCGGGACCTTGAGAGATGGCATAAAGAGCTTTGGTTGGCCTTCATCCAGCAGTGTATTAATCATGGCTGCTAACGCTGGAGGCAGTAAGCAATTCCATTGTCAATCTTGATTTGAAGCTTTCGTGACTGCAGGAATCCATAAATTCCATTGTCAGTTGTGCAAAGGTTGTGCAAAGTCGGGTAAGGCTATGTTCGGCAAGCCATCTCCCACTGCACGCACAGTGACACTGGAGGTGTCCCTGTGTCAGTTTGACAGTGTTGGGATGCAGCCAGTTGGTGTCGCTATCGAGTGTACAGGTGATGCAATTGTGCCGTGGCCCATGGGCTAGGAGGGGGTCCAGGCACTGGACTACAAATATTTATAAGAATTCAAATTTATAATGCGCATTCCATCCTATGATCCCAATGCGCAATGCATGAAAAGCAGGAAACAAAAACAAAACCAGGGCAACCGACCAAACTAAAGAGGGAAGGCCACTTTAAAGAGATGGGTTTTCAAAGTACTCATATATCTACCGACTCTGCCTGATTTCAAGTGGCACGGTGTTCCATAGCTTGGGTGCCATGCTAACAAAAGCCCGATAAGAGTGCAACCGACACCTGGGAGTGCTGAGCAGTTGGATATCAGAATATCTTAAGGACCTTGATTGAATATATAAATGTATTAGTTCCTGCAAGTAATGTGGGGTGAGCCCTTTGAAAGTCTTATCGGCTAATTGCAGTATCTTAAAATCCACTCGGAATTTGACCGGTAGCCAATGAAGAGATAAGAGAATTGGTATAATGTGCTCACGTAATGGTGTACGTGGTGTAAGCACTCGAGCAACTGCATTTTGAACAAGCTGGAGTCTGCCAACTACTTTGCTCGGTATCCCAACCATTAAGGTGTTGTAATAGTTGAGTCGGGATAACACAAAAGCATGGACCAGCCTCTCCAAGTCAGCGGGTGACAGGAAGCAATACATTCTGGCAAGATTTCTTGGGTGGAAAAAGGGCATTTTAACCACATTAGATATATGTGCCTCAAAGGATGACTGGTTAAACTGAACACCAAGGTTTCTGACCTTCCATGTGGGACTGACATCCTGACCATCAATCAACAAACGAGGCGAACCAATTTTAGAAAGATGCAGAGAGGAGCCAATGAACATGGCTTCGGTAGTCGGCATTTAGTTGAAAAAAGTTTTGGCACAACCATGAATTCACTACTGTTAATGATGCAAATAGCGCAGAAGAATGCTGTTGTAAAGTCTGGTCATAACCGGATATAAATTTTAGCATCATCTGCATCGCAATGGTAGGATAAGCCAATATGTTGGAGCAGAATACCTAAATGGTGCCATACAGATGCTACAAAGTGATGGGCCAAGCACAGATCCATGCGGAACACCACCGATAACCTAATTGGTGATTTGAAGCCAGCCTTTGTGAAATAGGGGGGGGGGGGCATTCCTTGCACCAGGGCCCATGCCGATCACGTTGGAGGGAGGGGGTGGGGAGGCCGGTGAAAGGCGAGTTACTGGGAGGGCTCTGGGGATGGGGAAATGTTGGCAGGGGGATTTCAATCGGTGGAATTTCAGTGTTGTGACAGAGCAATTGTCTATTTGCCTCCGGATGCAAAACAAGCTACACTCACCTTAGGCAACACTGAGAACAGCCTTAGAAGAGAATTACACTGTGGAGTGAGCAATGTCAAGAACCCTGTTACGGAATGTGACCCATGGACATCCGTGTACACGTAACAAATCATTTTTGAGTTACAGGACTTTCATCATTTTTGTCAGTCTAGTAAGGGCTAGCTCGTTCACCTATGACAATGATGAACTAAGTACGGCCTTTGACCTTCAATTAATAATGTGCAGCTGTTTGTCACGCCACCGCCAGGATTCCCCATGTTGTCACCATCACCTCGTGGTCTTATTGGTGATCTGACCAGCGACCGACTTGGGTTAGGATTGGAGTCAGCGTTTTGTAATTAACAAAGTTAGGACAATATGAATTTATAGTCTAAAGGTCGTAGATTACTACATATAAGCCACCTTTCTATATCTGTCCGGATATTATATTCTTGGTTCTTTTGGTAAAGTCACGTGACTTTACCGAAAGAACCAAGAAAATGAATCCCTGCAGTCACGAAAGCTTTATATCAAAATTTGTCCGGATATTGTTTAATAAAATGTGTACTTGAATTTAGTTCGTATTTATCTTGAGCTCAACTTGCAGGCTTCTACGATAACCTAGGCAAATTGGCTGTAACCTTTAACCTCAGTAGTCTATGGGTGAGAGCATAAATTGGTACCACTTAAGAAAGTAACACGCTAGCTGTACCTCTGTATTTATATGGCAAAGTAATATATTTGATAACCCTCTCATTTCAAATCGTTTTCGGCCATGTAAGGAAATTGGAACCGCAAAAGTTAGGCCACCTAAAGTGAAATACTGACATTTTAAACGTTGCCTCCCCTCTCTCACGACCCCACACCCATGTTGCCGGTGCTGGGTGGCGAGTGGCTAGCCAGCCAAACTTTTTTTGTAATACAGCACAGTGTGATGTGACAATGTTGAATAAAAAAAATAACACGGCACAGAGGTAACCCGTTATGACACCAACCATATGCAACATATCATTTTATTTTAACATTTCTAATTTTACAAATACGCACCCCAAAAAAACATCATCAAGCAAGTATAAATAGTGTCAGCCTGTAGCAAATGGCATGTTTTTTTTAAGCTTGAAATGGCCTGCACAAAAAGCCAAGCTGACAGAATGGTACATCAAAAAATATCACTATACTCTCTAAAGAAACACTACCGCACCACAGCAAAATATCCATTTCCGCAATCACTAACAGGAGGCAAAAGAGAAAAAAATACTATGAAATAAAGTTTCTAGCCAACATAACTAGTACCTTGAATAAGAAGCAGTTTCATTGTCCAAGTTTTTACGAAAATTCACATTAGCTCATGAAAAGTTCGAGCATGATAAGTATGCCAAGTACTTGGCCAGCCAAGTAGCACTTATACATCAGTATCAAAAAATCTGAAAAATAGAGTTGCACACGTACGCACGTACACACACAAACACACGTGCATGCGTCGGAGAGTCTCGTGTCCCCGTTACGAAACACGCAAGGCAATTTATGATGCTGAATCTACAGCGATGTCCTCTTACTATTTGGCAAGGTGTTGGGTTGGGTTGTCGGTTGCACTTTGTAGCAAGGAAGCATTTTTAAAATATGATTTTCAAATTTAGGCCTGGACAGAAAATGTCTCCCGTCTCGTAGTATAAACAAACAGCAATTACGTTTTGTTTCGTTGGTGCTGATGGCGCTATCTCTAAAGTGGTTCGACGTATTTATGGTTCCCCAGTGCAAGGCCACAACTCTGTTTATTTTAATCATTGTAAGGGGACTGCATCAGCTGAATACTTTCAAATGTCGTGCTAATCGCGCCCAATGCCGCTGCGGACTTCACTTACTGAAGCCAACAGAAGGGGAGAGCATCGACAAAAGAGGGGAGGAAAATATCACCAAATCTTAGTCCACGCACACAAACACATGAATCAAAAATACAGACATTTGATGTTAGCTTACGCCGCACGTAATGGAATCTTTTTAGACCAATGCATATCACAAACACTCGTAAGTGTGTATGCAGTAGACTCTTGATTAACCACGCTTGTTGGTAGGGCTGGGGGGGGGAGGGGAGTTAAGGCCCTCACTGAAACGTGAAAGATTCAAGGAGGGCCACAGGGTTGAAGGGGGAGCACGAGGGAGGGTGGCTGGGAAGATATGGTAACGAGCAGGGACAGTGCAGCAAAGGGACGATCCGATAAACAGTTTCACAAAATCGAGTTCGTCCTGCAGACACGGTTAAAAAATAAATTAACGAGCGCGCGTGTGTGCGCGTGCGAGCGCGGTTTACCGAGAGCCCAGTGAACATACATACTACGTATCCCGTCAATGTGTTTAAGCAGGAACGAAAGAGTAGTGTGCACGTCCATCCTGTGATGGCGTTCTTCTGCGCGGCGGTGGCAGCGCGGGACAGGAACTAACGCGGCGTCAACGGAGCGGTTCCTTCGCCTTGTGCATCTTGAGGATGTGCAGGAGGGTCGACTGGATGTCCTCGTCCATTTGGCCCTGTGGTCACAGAGATGAGTTTAAATGACGACCATTAATTACAATATGAACATTGCTTTGGGGGATTATCATCATCGCCATCATCATTCGCGATCATCTATCCACTTCTGGATGGCGCGCCCCCCAATACCGTCGCCATCTGTCGCGCTCTAGCGATGCCACGTTCCACTTCGCTCATGCGCATGAGCTAATCCCATCAATCCATCTCCAATATAATCCAATCGTCCAATTACGAAATATATGCAATATTGCGGTGTGCATTACCCATGGATTTATGGGCATGTGTAATGCCCACTTGTGATCCAACATTGTGGTGGCAAGGCTTGAGGGATCACACAAATATTGTCAAATTACCAAAAGCCTCTGCGCTGCGAATTGGCCAGGAGATGGCACAAATATGCGGACCCTTCAGCGTTACCGTTTCCCCTGTATAAGATTGTCTGTGTAGCCTTCCACGCTAGATATAATTTTACCCACAGGCTCAAGAACCCTTATGAAAATGTTGAGAGCTTGCTCAGAGTCCCATCGCGCATTGAAACCAAAATCGGCTTAACACGCAAAAATAAAGAAATTAACAAGTCTGCGATCAAAATCTTGCTTGAGCAATAATTGGGGGGGGGGGGAAAGTTTTTTAGCTATTGTTTTTATTCCAACTCAATGCGAGTACAAATCACCGACTGCGATGCAAGGAGGGGGGGGGGGGACAGAAACTCTGTGGACAAAATCCCAGGCTTGGTGCTCCAGGGGTTTAAAGAAGATGGGGGGGAGATTTGGGCTCAACGCCCCACTCACGTGGGGACCGTGAGCAAGAGCGTGGAAGTTCGTACAGGGAGGGAAGGATGAGGAGAAAGGTAACTAACATAAAGGGCCAAAGGGTACGGTGGGGGGGGGGGAGAAATGGCTAGGGATGGGGAGGAAAGAGAGGGGGAGAATGGGGGGGCAAGTTATTGACACAGGTACAGACCTGCACGGCGCAGAGCAGGTGGGTACGGTACACGGACACCACGTCCTTGTGCTGCTTGTCAGCCTCCTGGGGGATGGGAGGTGGGGTGGGGGTGGGGGTGGGAAACCCCCAGAAAAAAACATATAAAGTACATATCAGAGTTTCAGTATAACAACACAAACCGTGATTTGAAAAAATCCTTCAAACAGTGACACTGAAAACAAATATTTATCATAAACAGGTCCAACAACAAATCACTGAAAGAAGCGGGCCTTGTTTTGTGAAGTCAGTTGTGTTGATTTTTTGTTGTTTACAGTCAAGGTGAAACGTAGCGTAAATAATAAATACGTGCGATTCGGCGCAGATCCGATATAAATCGAAGCACCGGCTATGGTTTAACACGGAACAGTAAATTTCACATACGCTGTCAAAAATGACCAAGACACGTTTGAATGTTCTCCTATTTCTCTCAAAGCAACACTTTCAAGTCGATTCAACAGACTACGTAACATCAAGGGACGTCCCAAAAGCTCCCCTAAAAAAAATCAGAGTCGAATCTCTTTTTAGCGTTCATTCTGATGGCGGGAGGCGGGTGGGTGGGGGGGGGGGGGCGTGTGGGCGAGGAAGGGGGGCGGGTGAAGAGGTAGAAGCCAAGAGACTCACGGCGAGCTGCTGCTGTAGGCGCTTGACCTGACTCTGCAGGACGTCGAGCTGCTGGCTCGCTCGCTTGTTGCCGCCGCCGCCGCCGCCACCACTCGTGGCGTACGGCAGCTGCGACAGGCTGTTGAGAGCCTGCCGCAGGGTCCCCACCTCCTCCTGCAGCCCCGCGAGCTGTGTGCACAAAACAACGGTCGCCAGGATTCATTTATAGAGGTGGGTGGCCCAGGGTGGCCCAGGGTGGCCCGGGGGGGGGCTCATTTTGTGTCTGTAGAGAGCACTTGAGCCAGCACTGCTGGGAATGGTGGTTAGTTTGAAATTCGGGCAGTCGTTCAAGATTAGTTTCCAAAAATCACAGCAAGTCGACGCGCCTAAAGCCTGGACATCAATGGCAACAAGAAAAAAAAAATCATTACATGTGAATATTACACGGGGGGTTTTTCCACCCCTGAATATTACCTTGAAATCCTTTTGTTTCATCAGCGCAGCTGATTTATCCAAACGTTGTTGCAGCTCTTTGATTACCCTGCTGGCCTCGTCCAGCTTCTGCTTAAGGTTAGAGAGGTGCTTTTGCAGGTCCCCTGCCTTGGAGTCTGCCACTTCCCTCTCGTCTTGTGCTCCGTCAGCCTCCGATCGATATCTTGAAAACTCGAGTTGTGATTCCTCATACTTGTTTCGCAGTTCCTCCAGCTGCTGCGTCAGCGAAAGAACCTCGGCTTCCAGTTCCAAATGCCTCTCGTCGGACGCCATCCGTTGCTCCATCTTCTCCAGAGACTGAATCTCTTTGTGCTTCTTGTTTAAGGCCTCCAATTGCTCACACAATGCCATGATCTCAGCCTCTTTTTGAAATCTCATTTCTTTAAACGCCTCAACGGACACAGTTTCCTTCTCCATCGTGGCTTTCAACTTTTCAACTTCACCCCTCAACCTCTGAATTTCATTATCCTTCTCCACAATGCCTTTCTCCACATTCGTCGATCCCCGCTCCAACTTTCGCGTCACCTTCTCCAGCTGCTCCTTGGTCCCAACATGCTGCTCCGTCAGCGCCGCGTGCTTCTGCACCCAACCCGCCACCTCCTTCTGCAGCCTCTGCGCGGTCTCCATCACCTCGCCGTGCTTCCCCATCATCTCCGACACCCTCTCGTTGAACGCGCTTTCCAGCTCCACGTACTTTTCAATAGGCACATACTCTGACCCGCATTTCTCAATCAACGTCTCCATCTCCTTCTTCTGGTTGGCCACAGTCGCCTCCAGGATTTTGGATTTTTCTTCCGCCGCTTTGCACTGTGCGTTGAGTTTAACGGCGTCTTTCCCGAGACCTTTTATCGCTTCTTGCAGCGATAACACCATCTTTTCTTGCTCCGCCATCGGAGCCATCTGCTGCATGAGCTCGGACTGCAGCTTAGCCTCGGCCTCCTGGTGCACGTGCGTCGCTTGGATGCTGTGCTGTAGAGAATTCTCCATGATTTCCATACTCCGCTCCCTCTCCCTCAGCTTTTCATTCACTTCTCCGACAGACACCTCCAGGGCAGAATTTTCATTCTGCAGCTCGGCAACCTGCCTCTGCATCTCTTTCATTCGACCTTCTGAAACCTTCACCTCCTCCGTGAGTTTGGTGAGCTGGTTCTGCAGCTCTTTGCCGGCCCTCTCCAACTGGCCGTGCTCTTTCAGCACTCGGTTCTTCTCCCCGAGCGCCTCCGCCAGCGCTTTGTCGGAATGCTCCTGCGCCTGCATCATCTCTGCAACGCGACCCTGCAGCTGAGCCACGCTCAACTTGGACAGGGCCTGCAGCTCCAAGTGCCGCTGGGGAGAGGTGCTCTGCTGCAGGATCACGTCCCTGTTGGCCAGTTCCTGCTTCAGCTGTTCCACGTGGTTCTGCACCGACGACAGATTTTTCTTCGCCTCTGCCAGCTGCGCGTCGGCGCCTTCCAACGAGCCCTGCAGGGACGTCCTGGCCCGCTCCGTCTCGGCGAGGTTGCGCAGGGCGTTTTCCAAGCGACACTCAAGGTCTTTGGTGGCGGCCACTGCACCAGTGGACTCCTGCTGCAGTCGCGCCAGCTCGTTTTCGGTCACCTCGTTTTTATTCTTCCATGCCAAAAGTTCAGAACCTTTCTGGGCTAAAAGAGCCTTTAGCTCATCCATTTCCTTGTTATATTCTTCAAATTGTTCTTGTTTACTCCTGAGATCGCCAATAGTGGTCTGCAGTGAAGTGTGCTCTGTTCGTAACCTACTGAGTTCATTCTGAAATTGATTGTTCTTAGACCTCAGTTCTTCAACGGTATTGCTCATCTCCTTGACGTTTTTCTGCAGTGCTGCCCTCACCTTGTCGGCCTCCATGTACTTGTGCTCTGTTTCGCCAAGCTGCTGGTTAATATCATGAATCTCCCCCTGCAGTGACGCCGTTAATTCTTTATGCTTCTGTAAGGGGACCGAGTCCGTGAGCTCAGCCTGAGCACTTCGCAGCATTCCATTTACCCTGCTGACCTCCGCTTGCGATTCTGAATATTTCGCCTCCAGCTCCGACAGCGCGCTCAGCTTTTGTGACAATCTGGCATCCACCTCCTTCTTTTCATCCTCCAGTTCCACGACCCTCCTGGACATTTCCGAAATCTGCCTGCTCAGCATCATGGTTTCCTCCTGAAGCAGAGCCATCTCTTGCTCGTACACGCTCTTTGGCACCATTTCAGACTTGTTGCTCTCCAAATTCTGGGCCTTCAGGCTTATCTCGGTGAGTTTTGTTTCCGATACGGAGCGCTTCTCTGTCGCTTCAGCCAATTTCTTCTGCAGATTTTCAATCTGAGATCTATGAGCAGCCAGCGCCGTCTCCATGTCTGAATGTTTGGCTACCATCGAAGCCACCGCCTTATTCTTTGCCTCGAGCTCAGAGGCCAGGCTCGACTTGCTGTTCTTAGCCTCGGAAAGCTTATTCGACAAGTCAGCCGCCTCCTTCCTCTTCGCGTCGAGTTCCACTTTGAGTACTGTCTTTACCTTCTCGGACTCGGTAAACTTGTCGGTCATTGTGGACAGCTCCATTCTCTGCTGCTCCACGGTCGCGCTTAGAGCTTTCCTTGCCTTCTCCGCCACGGAATGCCTGGAAGAAATTTCGGCGAGCTGCCGATCGAGGTCATCGAGCGTAGCCCGCGTCGCGGCTTTTGCGGCCTCGTGCTCTTGCCGATTCACGCTGCAGCTCCGCAGGCCGGCGAGCTCATGGCGGAGGCCGCCGATCTCGTCCTGAGCCGCGTTGTACTGCTCTGTGAGCCCTGCGAGCCTCTCGCTCGTCTCCTCCAGCGACAGGTTGAACGACGTCTCCAGCTCCTCGTACTGCCGAAGAGGCACCGTCTCGGGAAGGGCTCTCTGCGAGTCCTCAAGCAGATTTTGGAGCTCTGTGGCACGTTCCTCGGCCGTCCTGCAAGACGCCCGTGCCGCCAGCAGCTGGCTCTCCAAGTCCCTTATCTGCTGCTCATAAGACACTTTAATCTTGTCAACGAGCCCTTCCGCACCCTTCTGGGAAGAGCGGGAGGAAGCGATCTGATTTTCCATTTCCCGCACCCGTTGCTCGAGGGACCTCTTCATATCGTCAACCTTCTTGTCCGCCTCCTGCCGCAGTGCCTGAGCGAGCGCAAGGCGCTTCTCCAGCTCGGCCACCTTGGTGCCGTACGTGCGCTTCAGCTCCTCCACCACCTCCTGGTTGACGGCACGGTTCATTGCCTTCACCTCGGACTGCAGGCGGCTCACGCTGGCCGCCGACGCCTCGTACTTGGACGCGACCTCCTTGAGCTGCCGCTCGAGCTCGCCGGTGCGCTTCTGCGCATGCTGCAGCTGCGCGTCCTTCTCGGCGTCGGCCGCAAACAGCGCCCCGATGCTTCCAGGTCCAGGCCCTGCCGCGCCGCCTCCCAGCGGCAGCGACAGCAGTTGCTGCTGCAGGCGACGCATCTTGTTGTCGGAGTCCCGCGTCCTCTGCAGCACCTTTTCCAGGTCCTCCTGCAGCTGGCGGATCTGGCGCTCCGAGTCGCGCTTCAGGCCCTCGTACGCAGCTAGCGGCACCGCGCCAGCACCGGGCGACGCGGGGCCCGCGGGGTCGGCGATCTGGCTGCGCAGGTCCGAGAGCTCGAGGCGCGAGTGCTCCAGCTCCGACGCCAAGCTCAGGTGCTGCTGCAGGGGCACGCAGTCCTTGGTAAGGTGACCCAGGTCCGCCTCAGTCCTCTGCACAGACGACAAAGGGAATGGCGGCGGAAGGGAGAAGACCATCAGACCATCGTCAACATTCTGGCAGCAGGTTCTTAAAAATATATACATACACTGTGTGACACCTGTGTACATCAATCAAAATATGCGAGGAGGCCGGGTGGCTAAGAGGTCAATGGAGCAGAGCCTGCAATGCTGAGATCCTGGTTCAAATCGAAGCAGCTGCCTATGATTAAAGCTCGTTTTCAAGTTTAGTGAGTTGCTCGTCTCAGCCCGGGTGTCAATAACTGTACAAAAATAAAGTCGCATGAAACTTGGTTCTGCATTAAAATTGGCTCAATTCCATCTCTGAAAGTTAAAGATATTGGGTTTTACCATCATGCGATGGTCATTATTCTTTTTGGAAGAGGACATGCATACCCAATGGGTTAGGTGACTGGGATGGATCTCAGAAGTAGCTTTGTGATATTCCCCTCTGAAGGATGTTCTCTAGCATAGGGGGGTTGCGCTGCTCTGTGAAAGTTTGAATAGACAAACTAAACTAAAACTACAAACTTTGTATTTTACCAGGTAAGGACTACTGAGATATATAGTTCTTTTTCAGTATTATCCTGGCCACAAATGACAGCAAACCCAACGCATGTTTATAAATATGGAGGAAAAAACTGGAGGACCCAGAGAAAAATCCACGCGACTCCAGGGAGAACATGCAAACTCCAAATATACAGCAGGCGTCAAGGGTCGGGATCGAACCCACGACCTCTTGTATACCAGGCGCCCCTCTCGCCACCGTGAGCGTAGAGCCCTGTGAAGAGCTCATCCCCCTCGCGTGAGCTATATGAGGGGGCTTGCCTCGCCCCATCCATCTATGGCCAGTCCCCTGGAGCTCCGTGTGGCTCACCTGCAGGCGGACATTGAGGTCGCGATTTCGCAGGCTCAGCATGGTGACCTCGGCGTGCAGCGCTGAGATCAGATTCCGTGCCTTCTCCTCCAGCCCCGCCATCTCCCTTCCTGAATCTTTTACCAAAAATATAAATTCATAAACACGGAAGTTAGTTTCATGTGAAGGTTTTGCGTAAGCATTGTCTTCATCATCAGCCATTAAACTAAAGCAAACTATTTTTATTTTGCCAGGTAAGGCCCAGCGCTATATAGCTCTTTTTCAGTGGCGACCAGGCCACAAATGATAGCTCAACGAAGTGGCTTATCAAGTGGAAATTTAAAGCAGCCAATAATGGAAGGAAAAACCTGAGGACATGGAGAAATATCCATGCAACCACTATCCACTAGATGAAGACCTCTGGCAAGCCATCGACCATGTCTCATTGCCCTGAAATACGACAATCTATCATAAGAGCTGATTTCATCGCTCCATCTCCATGGTGGGTAATCTCTCAGGAGTTTTCCCTCCTTTGGCTGCAACTCTGTTATTAGTCTCGACCAACAACTTGTCCTGCCCCCGCCCACTTACTGTTCAAATCGGTCAACGTGATGCCTCCTACTTTCTTGTTTCTATTTATAATGTGCGACTGATTAAAACAATGTATAGCCCACTGAGGATTGTACACCCGCACCACGATGGCAAAAACCCATTGATTTTGAAATCTAATATTTACCACCAACCATGCATGCAGTAAACCTTTACACAGGTATAACACTGCCTTAAAAGGCAAAAAAGTATATAATAGGTGACATTTAATAGCAATTTTATGTGCTATGTAGAAGGGCCATTGCTTGAAATGTCACCCTTATATATGTTTTTCCTTTTAAGGCGGTAGTATTATTGACTAATGTGCCGAGTTGTATTTTTAACCATGCTTGTGCACCATTGCTGACGTAGCATCTCTATATAATTGGTTTATAAGGGTAAATGTTGTAGCCGTGAGCTCACCGCTGATCATGATGTCCTCTTCATCCTCCCAATCTCTCTTAACTCCACTGGCGTCGACCTGATCACACGGTGCCAGCACCCAAATCACAACGCAGCCCGTAAGTGTGCTTTTTCTGTTCCATTTTTATTGACTTAAAATAATATTAACCCTCTAGAGCATCAATTATTACTGAAATAACGAGAATAAGTCTACATTATAGAGTGCCAGTGCGCTCACTCGGGTTAAGAACCAGGCTACATTCTGCATTATAGACTGCCAGTACGCTCACGAGCTTAAAATCAGGCTATAGTTTACATTATAGACTGCCAGTACACTCACCAAGGTTAAGAACCAGGCTACAATCTACATTATAGACTGCCAGTATGCTCACCAGCTTAAAATCAGGCTACAGTCTACATTATTGACTACCAGACCGCTCACCGAGGTTAATAACCAGGCTACAGTCCACATTATAGATTTCCAGTACACTCACTCCGATTAAGAACCAAGCTATGGTCTACATGAGTGTTTTTATTATTATTTTATTATTTTTATTCACTTAATTTAATATTTTTCTATCTACGTGACTTTACCTCATAATCTAACTGGATTGTTACTCTGAATGACCGTATACGTAAAGACTCGAGCGGTGGAGCTAAATCGCTGTGTATTATTGCGGAATTAATTTAAATGTCATGGCAATTTTTTGTAGATTGATCACAGATAATAATAATTTCAAATTGTAACGTGCTGCCGCACAGTACTCGCTCACTCTCCAAGACAGAGAATGATTCAGGACCACGAGGATGAACCACAGACAAGTGGAAAACGCAGCCAGGAGGTGAGCCGGTGCCAACTTCCACCCCAAGCTCTGTGGTCCTCTATATATTAAGGTGTTATCGATGATGACGACGACGATGATGATGATGACGTTGCTCCAAAGGTTAGTATTGGATACCAGTCGTCAAAATCTTACCGCTGACGTGTCAACAGCCTTCTTGAGCTTTTTGATTTCTTCAACGATCACCCACATGGCCTCTTCTTTTTCCCCCAGCTTGCTCTTCAGCTGAGCAACCTGACACAGAGAAAAACCCACGTGCGCTTTTCTTCCCGCAAACGTCTGCTAGAAATGCCACGTTGAATCTTAGCTTATCTTATAGAGATTTATATATGTAGCGCCTTATTCCAAGGCGCTATACAGCAACTATAAAATTGTGCATAAGATGATGGTGGTTGAGATAAAGAGTGGGGTTGTAATAAAAAGTGGCGGTGTAGTTATGGTGCCAGTTTTGAGAACAGGCGGGAGTAGTTAAGAAGAGGTTAAGGTTGGGGTAGTGATAGGGGATGGGGTAGTGATAGGGGATGGGGTAGTGATAGGGGATGGGGTAGTGATAGGGGATTGGGTAGTGATAGGGGATGGGGTAGTAATAGGGGATGGGGTAGTGATAGGGGTTCGTGGGTAGTGATAAGAGTTGGAGTAGGCTTGGTCGTAGCTGGGGGGCTGGGGCAGAGAGTAGCAGTAGGATGGGCTAGGGGAGAAGAGATGCGTTATAAGGGAGGAGCGGAAGCAGTTTCGTGAAGATGATTGTTTGTATCGCACCATTAAATGAAGGGGTGGGTCTATATTATTTTAAATCATCGTGTGTTAGTGGATCCACGTGTTTCCTTACTTCGTTGTTGAGCTCAGCCTTCCTCTGTTTATCCGCTGCTTGCCTCTGTGTAAATGTGAACAGGAAAACAAGCGCGCCTTGAGCCGTTTGTGCCACTCTACAGATGATTTTGATGGCAACTTCGTCACTAGGCGCACACGTATTGTATCGAGTCATCGATTAACGTCAACTGTTTCGTTCACAACACATGCAACGCATTGGATCATGTGCGTGAGAATTCATAAATTATGATTCGTTCACATTTTAAGTAGTGAGTCCACTAAAGTAAACTATTTTTATTTTACCAGGTAAGGCCCACTGAGCTATATAGCTTTTTTTCAGAAGTGACCTGGCCACAAATGATAGCTGAATGAAGTGGCTTATCAACTGGAAATTTATAGCAGCCAAATGTGGAAAGAAAAACCGCAGGACCCGGATAAAAATCCACACAACCATCCCCGCCAGAACATGCAACCAAACTCCAAATATGCAGGCGCCAGGGTCGGGATCGAACCCACGACCTCGTGTATGCCGGGCGAGATAGTTAACATCTCGCCACCGTGGCGTCCAAATGGGCCCGAGGCTGCATGCATGCGGAGCGCCCACCTCGCGGATCTCCAAGCTGCGGTTGGTGAGCTGCGTCTCGAGCCCGTGCGTCTTGTCCAGCAGTGCGCGGTGCTCCTTGCGGAGCTGAGCCAGTTCCGTCTGCAGAAGGCTGTTGTCGTCGTGCAGGGCCTGACGCACGCCAGCCAAAGCCACGACAGAGACAGACCGCATTGTGGTAGCCGACCGTCAGACCGTTTTCCCAAGCACTTTGAACTATGCATGTTGAACTTCTTTCGCACCGTACGTAGCCAACCATGCTAATCGGAGGTGCAATTTGCAAGGTTAGCACATAACGTTACATATGACATGTGACGATATGGGCTATGGACCTTCTGTATAGCATATGCAGAGAGAGGCCAGAGAGACAGAGTTGGGGGGCCTGATGAGAATTACATTTTTATATTTTATGATGACCAGTTTGTATGTCTTTTACGGTTTTTACAGGATTGCTATTGACCTTTTATCACAATTACTTTATCAGTGAGTTTTACCCCAGTCACCTTTTGACAATGGATGGTGAGTCTCAATGGGCTCTCAGCTGGTCTTATATCAATTACACGAATGAACGAATTAATTAATAACCTCCTCTCTCACACACACGCATAATCCAATTGTCCACCACTGCCCTCTCTCCCATGATGATCCACAAAATCTTTCCGACGTGGTTCCGGGTTGTGTCCATAGCTGAATATTCAGTACACACAGAGTGTGTGCGTGTGAATAATACCAGTTTAAGTACACAAATTAATGAAAATTGGTAAACCGAAGCTCCCAGAATGTGCGGCGAAACGTCAGACATCGTGCCAAACAACGTGCAGTACAACTCAAAACACATTGGAGAGCTTTACAGAACTGTAAAAAACCTATGCAGCCATACACGATTAATCTGTTACCTGGAGGGACTGTCGTTCGGTAGCCTGTGGGGTGTAGAAAGCCCCGGACGTGTTCCCCGACATCGGGGAGCTAAAGCTGATGTTTTCGCTGCCGGGTGACGACAAACTGCTGCCGACACTCTGAAAACAACACACACACGCAAAGCAATTAAGCCTACAAGCTCTTAACATAGAGTGCGCATATCCGGCTTTAAGGGGTTTTTCAAACACTTCTTCCGCTTCACTATTTACTTTGTGTTGGGGTGTAGAGGTGGCCAACACCCTGCGCCATTATTCCTACGGCCTGAGTTTGACTTCCGGCGATGGACCAACGTCAATCAGCAGTGACATCTGACCCAGTCCCCACCCCCAGGACACTTCACCAATCCGCACTGACCAGCATGGTGAAGTATGATTAATGACGGGTGTGATGTGGGGTGGCCTTCATTCGTAAGTGGATTGACCAACAGCTGTAAACTATTATTCTCCGTCGTTCTCTCTCTTCTCGTCTGTTGTCAGACGTTGGCTGACGATGAGGCTGGTCAAATTTCTCCCACCTCTTCCTTTCTCTAGTCATTGCGATTGCTTCCTGTATGCCTCTGTTTTTCTATTTTAAGTCCTCCTTCATGCCTTCAATTCACCATCTGTGTGGATGTCCAATATTATCATTACTAATATAAGATTATTACAGTGTGTGCACTTATTTCTGTCACATGCGTGTATAGATGTAAGTTTAACTTCTTTCGCTCCGTACAAAGCCAACCGTGCTAATCGGAGGTGTGGGGGAAGGACAAAAATCTAAACTTAAAAAAGCATTTCTAAAGAAAATCGTTTTCAATCTAGATTTAAAAGCATATAGCTCCAGTGGCTTCCTGATTTTGGAAGAGTGTTCCAGACGGCCGCAGAAGCGCATCTGAAAGCATGTGATGCAGTGACCGTCTTTGTTCAACGGCCAGCCAAAAGCCACTGCTGCGGGAATGACCGGAATTTGTGTGATGATGGTGTATGCTCCTTGACGAGATCAGCAAGGTATTGTGGTTCATTCGTGGGAAGCATTTTGTGTGTAATGAGTGCAACCTTATAATGCATTCATTTGACGAATGTATAACTTGAGTGCGGTCCACCCTCTCATGCATTAACCTGGGCTGAACTGAGGGACGGTGGAGGAGCAGGGGCTTTCCGCTTCTTGCCAGGGTCATTCCGGTCCTTCCCTGTGGCCTGCACGGCAGCGGAGGGTTAAACACCACAGCCCGGCACAGACTGCTCGGCTCTACTGGTGATGATGTCCGTGCTGCTGTTGTTCGTGATGAGGCGGGGGTGGGCGAAGGTCATGGGACTTGAGAATTTGAGATGATGCCGGATGAGAGGGGAACTACTCACTACAGCCCTCCGACCGTGCTTTCAGGTTGCACCGCGTGCTGTATAAACTAGTGTGCGTGGAGTGGAACGTCAGACATCGTGCCCAAAAACATGTGGTGCGACCGGAAAACGCATCGGGAGAGCTGTACAGAACAGCCGCGAAAAGCTACGCAGGAGCAGGCGTTCTACTATATATGATGCTATGATAACCATTACAAAATATATATTTTTTTTATCTGTGCTAGAATGTTTCAATATTACATTGCTTTTACATCAACAATTAAGGTTTATGAGCAGGAATGGTGAAGTCACAAGCGTTTTCTCACCTGCACAGCTTTCACGTTGTACTTCTCACCTGTTAAAAATAAATTCAGTATTAAATGACCACCAACTCTATAAGGCAGCTGCACGGGCACTCTGAATACCGGTCCCAATTGTGTTGACGTCTTGGCAGTGCAGAACATTGCCAGAACTTCTGCATAATTCAGCTGCAGTCGAGTTTGATTTTCATCGTTTACCACCAGAGGGCACTCTTGGCTCAACATTAGGTCTTATTTTACTCCAGTGGTTTTTATTCTCCCCAAAACTGGCACCATCTTGAGGGGTAGCTATGCATTATTCAAAATAATAATCTAACAATTTATCAGGAGAGCCTCACTGTTCGTAAGAACTCATTCTGAGGAGCCCTCTTTGGGATAGTTGGCCAATTCTTTCCTTGAGTGTTTTTGCATTTAACAAAAAAAACGAATGCTACATGTGATGATGCTTGACGACGTAGTTTCTAACGAAACGTCACATGTACCTGCTACATTTATTTGGTTTGTGAAAAAAAATGTTGTTTTTTTTACTTACCAGTGAGCCGAAACAACAACAATAATTGGCACGCTTGGGTGCGCGCGACACTTTTAATTTGTCGCGCGGTGTCGGTCGGTGGAAGGGGTCTGAACGAGAAACATTTGGCCGGCCGAATCGGGAACCCTGCTTTTGCGAGACGCACCGGGGTCGTGTGCGGCGGCGGGGACGGCAGGGAAGCCGGCGGCGCCCTGCAGCAGCGCCAGCATGTCCGGGTGCCCCGACAGCTTGGCATGGTGGAGCGCGTCGTGGCCCCGCGAGTCGGTGGCGCGCGTGTCCGCCCCCTTCCGCAGCAGCACCTCGGCGGCGTCACAGCTCGCGTGCTCGCACGCCACCATCAGCGGGGTCCTGGGCGCACGTGGCAGAAGCCACGCAAATGAAGATTTCCCCACCCCACCCCCCACCCCCCCCACCCACCTCGTCCCTCTCAGTGTAATGAGGATAATGATTAATAATGACTGATTAACTAACTTACATTTTTTTTTTTTAACCAGGTAAGGCCCACTGAGCTATATAGCTCTTTTCAAAAGCAACTCAACCACAAATGATAGCTCAACGAAGTAGCTTATCATGTGGACATTTGTAGCAGTCAAATACTCTAAACGCATGTTTCTACACGTGGAGGGAAACACCAGAGAAAAATAGACGCGACCAAGGGGAAAACATTAAAACTCCAAATATACAGGTTTCAGGTTCAGGATTGAACCAACAAACTCCTGTATACCAGGCGAGGTAGTTGACATCTCGCCACCACGGCTTAAGTTCATAGACACAGGGGCGGGGAATATTTTATCCCTTCCGAGCGGCGACTATGAATTCATAATAATATTGACGCACACAACTCGGCATTACCCATTAACGCGAAATATAATGTGCGGGTCAATTGCGTAAATCGCAGTGTGTTGCCTGGTCGAAAATATTCATTTCTAGCATACGATAAGTACAGCTAAGATTCTAACAGTACTGGTTCAGATTCCAGTTGCCGTTGATGCGATCCATGACTCAGAAATTAACTCAGGTCGCTGGGATCATAGCGTAGTGCGTTCACCCCTACAACATTGCTCCCCACATATGCAAACGCAAATGTACACACACACACGTGTTCATAAATACAAGATCATCGCACAAGCACACAAACTACCTCATAACCCAGGCATAGGTTATTCAAGAGTGCAAATTCAGCATTACACTGACTTCTTGGCATCAAATATAAATAAGATGCCAATTCAGCCTGTCAGACTGATGTGTCAAAGTTCGTCTCACATTACAAAATACCACCATTGTCACTCTCCAGAAAAAATGTGCTAATTAGTCACGCACAAAGACACAGGCAATCCGTTACAGCACAGGAAGCTCGTTTTGAATTTTGGAAGCAAAATTGAAGCCGAATGTCCAATTATGACAGCGAGGATGAAGCTCATTTGGTAGAGCAGCAGGGATCTCAATAACAATAACATTGAAAATATAAAACCTAATCACCGTGATAATTATCCCTGCCTTCCAACATAACAATTACACAGGCCAATATTTCAAGCGCCGACTTATTCTGAGCATTCTCTTTGCTGCTCCGATGAAGAGCCGTAAAAAGTAAAAACGTTAGCTTGCTAAATGTTGCTCCGTCACCATATAGACCGTTCGCAAGAAGGTGAATGGGGGCTTGGCAGTCAGTGGATGAGACTCGGGACAGACTGCCCGGCAAAGCAGGCAGCATGCCCCTGGGAGTTTGACCACCGCAGAGATGGCACAATGAGAAATCAATCATGCGCGGGAGCAAGATTTATTGCAACATCATCGCAGGAACACGAAGGATGGTGGCGTCATGAGGAGGCGGCCTTCATCCAGCAGTGCAAAGGACATGGCTGCTGATTATGTATATTGAACTTTTTTCGCACCGTACATAGCCAACCGTGCTAATCGGAGATGCGGGGGAAGGACAAACTAAACACGACAAGAAAATACAAAAAAGCATGATGATGACGACAGGACAGCATTAATGACGATGATGGAGGGGGCTTTTTTTTTTTAATCAATCTGTTCATATGTCACTCTCACAAAGATCCTTTAAGCTACAGGCAAAGAAGATCAGGCAGGCCCGCCCACGCACTTGTTGTGGTTGTCGCGTCCATTGACCTCGGCGCCGCACTCTATGAGGTGGCTGCACACTTCGGGATGGCACATGCGGGCGGCCAGCGCCAGCGGAGTACAGCCATCCTTTGCAGGGGGGTCGAGAGGGTGGGGTAGAGTTGGGGGGGGGAGGGGGCGCACAGAGAGGGCAAACCACCAGTGAGGCCTTTAAACGGAATGTTTATATTGTATGTTGAACTTCTTTCCCACCGTACATAGCCGACCGTGCTAATCGGAGGTGCGGTTAAAAAAAATATGCAGTCAATTTTCTCACGACAAACTAAATGTCACGAATGTACTGTGAAAGTAATAAGGCGTATCTATTCATTTGATCTTCGTACTGGATAACTGCCTGAATTTAAAAAATATATAAACCCCCGAGGTTTCCTTAAGGTGCCCCGCCAAGCTGTGTGACAATGCGTAGATTTGTCGATTGAAATCGATTGTTAAGTTCTAAAGTTAATCGGGCACGCGCAAGAACCAGTTATTTTACACCATGCTCCTTATGCACGGATTATATACGTATGAGATTGAACAAATGGGACAGAAACAAGCGAGAAAGACAGAACAAAGGAGAAAGAAAAAACGAGGAAGACGGAACAAAGGAGGGGGGGGGGTTACGAGGCAGATGACGCTACCCTTTGTGTCATCTATACTGTACAATCTGGATTGAAAGTTCATTTCTTTCGAACTGCTATTTGTGTTTAGTTTGTTGTCCTTCCCCCGCACCTCCGATGAGCACAGTTGGCTGCGTACGGTGCAAAAGAAGTTGAACATACACACTGACATAGTGTTCAGATGGTAACAAATTACACGTACAGAATAGATGATGCCATGGAGGCCGACTGCACAGACTACAAATGAGAAGCACAAATGAGATCGTATGAACAAGACATATAAATCTCTCTCAATAAGAGCATCAAATGGCGACACTGAATTGTGTCAATTCATCAAACGGATGGAGAATAAATCGTGAGATTGCCTCGTCCATTCACCGGTGTCGCTAAAGTGCAAGTTACGCACGGAGTTTGTGCCTCACGGAGAGGAAATGGATGCAGTTTAATGAGGCTGATATTGAATATCTGCGAGTCGTTCTACGAGCTTTGCATTATTAACGCGTACAACCTGTTTTAATGTTGCTCAACAGCCACGAGCCATTAAAATGGAATACATCCTTACAATCAATGATGCATGTCAACGTGTGCCTGTCAGGCCGCAAGGGTTACAATTACAATTTTGATAACCTGGCAGCCTGACACATCAGCACGCGTCAACGTTGCGCTGCCCGAGTTTATAAAATTCCCAGCCCACAATCAGGAAACGGTGAAGCGGTCGTAAAGCAAGAGCTAACACGCATTCGCATTAATATTTCACGTCTTTGACGTCGACCGTAAAACCTCCGTAGGTGCGAAAGCTCGCGTGCAAACGTGTCGAAGTGGATAGCGTGCGCCGCACGGTGAACGTACTGCATCCTGGGAATTAACGGGAGCCTTGTAGTCGCACAGGAGCTGCACAGAGGCAACGTCTCCATGTATGGCTAACGGGGGAAGGCAGAAGCACAACAAGAGGCGTTATTGGTAACGGCACGTTTCATCCAATCCATCATCTTACGAGCGCGTTGCAAAAATCGCACAATATCCTTGCTCGGCGCAAGGATTTTGTGATTGCAGAGTTTTAACCAAGTTCAGCTTCGAGTATGTTGTCCACTCACACACGAGAGTATGGCAATATCGCATGAGAAAAAAACATGCTACTGCTGCTCAGGAAGTCAAAAGGGAATGGTGGCGTATACAAATTGGAAAAAAAAATACGCGAAGTCCGGCTCTTTGCGCTGCTAATTAAAGTGGTGCAGCTGGAAGCCTTATGAACAGTCAAATTCCCATGCAGCCACTCCTGCCAAACTAGGGGCTGGGGCTGCCATCTGCAGCTTCTGAATGGATTTGGGGCCTCCTGAATAGGTGCATACACACTCCCTATTTTCATCCGCTCCACACATCCCTCGCTCGGGCTCTGTTCAAGCTCCCAAACAATTGGGCCGTTCATCGGCATCGCTGAGCAACAGAGGGGCGACGGGCGGGAGGGTGCGCATGGGGCGGGGATGGAAGGATTATTGTGCTCTTAATTTGCACAATGGCCACTACGGCTTGTACCCCACCATGGCCATCTCCCCATTAACTCAACCGCAAATCAATTGCGCACAAAGCGGCCAGTCGCCTGTGAACGTGTCCTCGCTACACGCGACACGCAAACACGTAAGCCGAACGCGGTCAACTAAAAAAAACAATGCTCGCAATCTGGACGACTCAATGCTCGGCCGTAATGAAGTTAAAATAAAGGAAAGTATTTTTTTCTTGACACCGACATTCCACCCACCGCCTTCCATCTCCATTCAAATTGGTTCCTTTTGCTAATTTGCTAATCTGTGCATCTTTAATTGAATTGCTTTTCCTCTGTGCCCATAAACATCAGTGCTTTTTAAGAGAAAATGGATTAGTGTTGCTTCTCCGCGGCCAGGAAATGGTGTTGCCACGAACCAAAATGTAAATCCTTTGGATTAAGGCTGGGAGGAGGCTTGCTTCCATAACCCCAGCTGGAGTCAGATAACACGGCATCAACAAGCAGGGTTTATTCTGAGTGAGTGAGTAAAGAGAAATGTTTCGCTCGCCCACGGCGCCACGTGAATGGCCGTGCACAGCCAAAGCTGTGGGGGGCTTTGGGAAACTGCTCACGGAGCATTCGACACAAGCCCATTCACGCTGCTCACCTGCATAGTGCAGAGCTGTGCGCCCGGCTTGGTCCAAAATGCTTACGGGGCTTTTGTACTGTGGAAACAAGCCAGAAAGCATCAAGAACGTGTCAGCCAGATCACCCCTTCAGCGGGTATGCGGCGTTCCACACTGGGGGTGGTTTCAAAGGCAGGGGTGGATGGATGGGTGGCTGAGTAAGTGAGATGGCGAGCGGGTGAGTTGGTTGAGTGGGTGGCAGAGTCAGTGACTAGATGGGTAAGAGTTAGTGAGATGGTGAGTGGAAGGGTGAGCGAGCGTTGATAATGTTTTAATTCAATGAGATTTAAAGTTAAGGGGAAAATGTACAAAACGAGATAAATATTTGAATACTATTTGTATTTTACCAGTTAAGGCCCACTGAGCGATATAGTTATTTTTCAGAAGTAATCTGGCCACAAATTATAGCTCAACGAAGTGGCTTATCACGTGGAAATGTATAACATACATATGTAGAAAAACACAACTGTGTATGCTTGCAAGCACTGCACATATGGCACGCGGCCATCTCAAGGGGCAACCGTAACTAAACTCAATAATGCGCTGTGCTCTTTTGTTCATAGTCTAATATATTTTGTACCTATTTTAGCACACACTGGTCCAACCAAAGGAAGATTGCTCATGTATTCTGCGCATGGTATCAACTTTGCACTTGACAGAGTGCCCTTGCAGTGCACTCGGATACAAAACATATCCGCGCAGAGGCACGAAACAATCCCACAATATTGTGTCTACCAAAGCAGGAGTGGTCATTAGTTGTGTTTTTGTGTTATGGTATAAAACGTATTCTGTGCACGTGTCCGCGTGACTTGGGCGCCCATCGGCGGTTTACAACTGCAACACGCGGTGCTTGCCTGCAGGAGATGCCTCATGCATTGGCTTTGACCATTTTTCGCCGCCAGATGCAATGCGGTGCGACCTGGAAATAAACGCATCATATTACAGGCGGAGGGGGTTGGAGTTGACTGTTTTCAGTTGTTATTATTTTTTTAAACAAAAGCCTTTGCTTATTTATTTTATATTTAACATCACAGGGGGTACAAACATGGTGTTAATGGCCAGCGCACCGGGCTTGCGATCTTAGAGGTCCGTCAGTTAGATTTGATCTCCTGCAGCAGTGTGGGTAAGCCCAGCTCTTCCAAGACATCCCGCCAGTGTAGAAGAGTTAGCCAAGATATACCCTTGAGAGGGCCTCCCTATGGAGCTCTCTCTTAGTGGAGGCCCTTTCCGCCAGCAGCGGCGTGAGCAAGACATTAGCAGAGCTGCACCTTTACCTTTTAACATATATATATTAACTTAAACATTGTTCAATGTCGTGACACGTCACGTAAGAAGCCAGTTAATGAAAGCGGAGTTAATGTATCAAAGGAATGAAAGAAAACAAAATTTACTCTCCCATGAGCAACCCCATGCACATTTTTTAGTGGGTTGTTTTTAAAACTTGTAACAGATAACAAGTGAACTCAGGATATCGATGGGCAACAGATTGCATAAACAGTGAATTAAGGACGGGAAATCGTTAAAGATTCCATTTGCTGGTATAATAAATCTTTACAAGCTTGCCAAACTACACAAAGTGAACTACTTTAATTTTCATCTCCGTCAGAGGGACTGCACACAAGCTCACCAGACCCATCAGTGGCCCCAGCGTCCGCCCCGTTTGACAGAAAGATATCCAGCAATTCATCATAGCCCTTCGCAGCAGCCAAATGGAAACTACATGCACGCACGCACACATAAAAAAAACATTATTATCCATCACCATCAAAAACGCTGTCACATACTTCAACTCGGGACACCGGATTTGCAGTTCTCTAGCAGAAGAGCACCAGAAAAGAACACAAATGGCAGACTTGCAGACGTTACACCGCCAACTTACACGTGTTGCGTCGTTCTGGACAACAGCTAATAGCGTTACTTTTACGTGACCGATGCCTTCCAAAACACGTTCGGTTACATCAAGAGTAAAAAGTGCCATGACTAACAGTTGATACGTGTTTATTTGCCCACAGGTACATTCATGAAATATTCACGATGATAATTACAGGGGGCTTCTGATAAATGCTCTACCTCCTCCCGCTTCTGCTATATTTAAACAACAAAAAATGTCAGGCTTTTAAAGATAGACAACGTCTGCCTTCTCTACCCTGTATTTAGCTCCGGGCTGGTCCTAAGTCTGGCCCCTTCTATTAGGGGGGGGGGGGCAAAACGAAGCGGCATCGTAAACAGCAGAATGCTGGGTCACAGAGGATGTCGCTTGGATGATAACAAACAACTGTTTGTCGACCTATCGGCTGAAAATCGATTCTTACGCTCGCAGCGTATGGCTTGGTTCTCGTGCGACGTGAGAGCGGGTTATTTACGACTCGTATGCAAACGCCATCCAATTAGGATAATGGAGCCGACAAGACTGTACAAAGGAGACATGGAAAATGTGAAACACTACAAAGTAGGCGGTAAATATTCGACAAAAAGGAACCGTTTACTGAATTTAATTTTAACCCCCACGTCGTGACAATGAATAGAATCACTATGAGTAATCTGGCAGGGGGGATATTTACATGCTTCGAAAAACAGCAGCATGCAAAGTACAATCGTTCGGATGATTTATGTAGAGAAAACAGGTCAGAGGATAGCAGAAGCATTTGCCTTTGTACTCTGGTCTGGAAACAGTTCATGAAATGCCCACTGATTATTATTAAAAAAACGTTTAAAAGCCTCGATACAAAACACAAGAGGTTGTGCAACCATTATGCGAAAAGAAAAAATGATACACCATGGCCAAATAAGCAACGAGGGGAGAGAAAAAAAAAACCTATTCCGTTTTTATTGCGAAGTGTGAGTCCACTCAAACGGCCTTTCTCACGAAGGGTTATATTTTTCAGGCGAGAGCCCCCCCCCCCCAAATTTTTTCATGCAACCCAAAATTCCAGAAAAACCACAAATATCAACACCATCAACAGTCAACACCTGATCCCATCTGAACTGGTGCACACGTACAGTGCGTCTGCCGTTCTTTCTCGGAAATGCGCAGACAGTGGGCTACAACGCCCTAGAAACTTATTCAGTTGTAAGGCTTTCAGCGCAAATGTTTTCCCCCGGCCAGTTATACAGTATTTGATTAGCTTTCCTAACCCCATAGTACTCTTTAAAGTGTAAAATTTCCTTCTGATAAACGTGGATTCCTTCCTGGATTTGAAAGTTCCCTGTTGTATAGCGCCACGTATAGGTTTTCGCGGTTCTGCTACACAGCTGGCTCTATCTCGTGTTTTTTGGGATGTGTACGGCGTATTGTTCAGTATCAAGTGCGACGATTCAGTGTCATGTCCAAACATGCTGGGAACTTTTTTTTTGGAACTCATATCTGGAGAAAAACGTCAGACATGATTCCAAATAACCACGAGGTTATTATTATGGTTCTTTACCCAGGAAAAGCCGCAATGAGTTTCAATGCTATTTTTCAGGAGGGTCCTGCCAAGTTGTTTCGCAGGAGGACAAAAAGCAATGGGAAGGAAAATGTTCTGCATTGGTATGTTTCATCAGTACCACTGACATTGTGTGTTTGTCTCTTTATATATGGCAGGAAACTGGCGAACCCGGAGAAAACCCATGCATAAGAGGAGACAGAACATACAAACTAAACATAGAAAGGCACCCAAGTCAGGAATTGAACCGAGGCTCTTCTTGTGCTACTACTGCGCCATCATGCCGCAGTACAACCTGAAAACACTTTGGCGACCTCATTCGCCGCTGAACCCTCCAAAGGGTAACGTTAGTGCTCCAGAAAAGTCGGCGCCCTGCCATATTAAGGGCGCCATGGGAGATTGCCCTGCCATTGGGAGGGGACCACCACCAGGAGATGGAACTGAGCTCACTCACGCCGACTGTCCCTCCGCGTCGAGCTTTGTGGAAGAGACACCCTTCTTCTGCAGAGTGGTGGACACACGCTCGGCGTCCCGGCTGTCCACGGCATGCAAAAGGCGATCGTCGTACTTGTTCCATTCCTAGAGAGGACACGAGGCATGACGAGTGAGCACGGGGCATAGGAACACAACTGTGACGATTCGTTACACGCGTGTCACCGCCTTCCACGGCCTGGGGAAAAACCCACGTACGGTCACGCAGCGTTCGGAATCCTGGCTAATGTGAGCATTGTATAAATCAGTCAGATGGGAGGATGGCAGGGCCTGGTTGTCAGCAGACTTGTCACGAATAATATTTCGAAAATATAAAGCGACGAAATACAGGCGCATCTCAAGAAGTTGGGATTCTGCCATATTAGAATTATTAGCAGACTGTACTTATAAATTATATATATTTTAATATTACTCTTGATTACCCAGGAAAGACTCATAGAGCTTCAACTAATTTTGGAAGGGTCTTGCCAAGTTTTGGCAGTAGGGGGGGGGGGGGGGAATGTTGCTTTGTGTGATCCTAATTGAGTAATTTGCAGGTATTTTTTTTAGCATTGGGATGTTTGGCCAGCACATTAGATGATTTTTTTTAGCTTTGGGAGGAAAATGCAGAACCTAAAGGAAACCCATGCAGAACACGGGGAGAACATTCAAACTCGACACAGAAAGGCATCAGAGTGAAGAGTCGAACCCAGGACAATCTTGATGTGAGGAACAAGTTTTTCCACTGCATCACTCTGACTGACACCCACTTGCAATCCAGAGGTTCACCGTTGCTAAATACTCAGTGCGGCAGATAATATCACGGCCAAGTTTCTTAAAGTCCCCCCAAGTATAAATGGGCACACCAGTTTGTTAATCAGCAGGAAACTTGGCCGTGATATTCCAAGACTTCCAGCCAACGTGGAATAGGCCAAAAATATAATCTAAAGCTTCGTCTAGTGAAGGGCCTTCCGCCAGAAAGTGAGCAAATAAAATCGCAGAGCTGCGCGTTTATCTTTAACTCAAGACGCTGCACAAGGCAGCTATATATAAATACTCTTTGGTTCTTTCGGTAAAGTCACGTAGGTAGAAAAATAAATAGATCACGACGTTTCGATTGCAACGCAAGCAATCATCATCATCCTGCAGTCACGAAAGCTTAAAATCAAGATATATATAAATAGTTGACACAAACTACAAGGAAATAAAGATAGCCCGTTTGCATGGAGTTTATATAGACATTTAATATGCACATATTTACCTAGATTCAATTTGATTTAATTAACAAAGAAATGAGTAATTACTCTCTTCTGAAAATTGGACTATCAAAAACCCATGTGCTATCCCTTGTAAGATTTAGCAACTGTTTTGACAATTTCAAAATCCAAATCCCCAGACGATACCCAAGTATTCCTTTGCAATAGAGAGCATGTCATTGGCATTTGAGGTTTCTACTGCAGAGAAGCACTCACAATTTATCAACTGCAGCACCACACAGCAGCTCCTCATAAGTCATCAACGCACATCAGCTGTGACGCAGCGTGAACACATAACCTGAGTTTGCAAAAGATTAATGTTTATGACACTCCACGACAAAACATCAAGATGCATGCTAGGTCATTTTATATATCCGTTGTTTTATTTTTTGACGTTTATAAATGTTATGTTGCACTTCTGCCAAATGTAGAAAACACACACACACACACAACAGGAAACCACTCGGTTGGTTAATTTAGTGTCACCGAGCTTGGGAGTGCCAGATTCCGAACCGTGGCGCTCCAATAGGATGGGATGCTGATGGATGGACTTGACCGAAGTGTTATGCAGGTTCAGCCCATGCTCAAGTCTTAGGCTGTGAGCAACCATTATTTATGAACATGGCGTTCTCTTCAAAAAAATCAAGAGGCGGTGAGCCCGAGAGAGAAAAAAACAATACACAATCTAAAACTTGGCGCACATTTTTAAGCCTGCGCCAGAGTCAATTTAACGAATGCCACCGCTGTAGTTTCATGCCAACAGTATTACAACCATAAGCACAAATCGTGAAGCATTGCATTGCTTTCCATGGCAGTGACATTTGCTTCCAATGTTTAGTTTTCCTGAGAATACATTTTATTGTAAACTCGAGGCAGAAATCCAAAGAAAACCGACAGGGCGCAATCATCAAAGAGCTTAGTCTGATGAAGGGTACTTCAGCTCAGCTTCTGTTATGATGTTAAGCTTCTTAAAAGTGTATACGATTATTAGAGAAATAAAACTTTGACTGCACGTAGACAGATTTCCAGTCTGTAATAATCGCTCTGAAAACCGACCCCTTCCGCGTCGTACTTGGGCTTCCAAAAGCAATGCTGTAGCAAACACACACACAAAGAAGGCTGAGCCACACTCAATGGATACTAGAGTACGTGCACGCGATCTTCATGAGGAACGATGCAGTACAAATAAAGAATTCACAAGGCATACTGCGATCAGCGCATTGAGGGGGGATGCACGATGGTGGTATCGGGCTAAAACGCAACGGCAGGATAACTACCTCTGTGGGAATTGCTGTGTGCCAGGATGAATGCCCTAATGCTGTGTTGCTACAAATGGGGTGTGTTTCATAATGCCGCTCAATGGGACGTTCCGTGCTATTTTCTATATAAGGAACGAAACAGTTAGACTTCTCCACAATTCTGGCTTGTCGCCTGATGAAGCTACATCATGGGACCTCCTTTGCCAGTACCAAAATATGATAATAGGTTTTCCCCTTTTTTCTGGTAACAAAACAGGTGTTAAGATGTTAAAACACCAAACTGAAACCTTTTACAAGGAATCATGTCTGCATTAACCACAATACTTGTGGTCAGAATGCAAACAAAAAACACTGATAATAAATGTATTGTCTTTGAAACTAATCGGTCCACACAAGAGACAGCTTTCTTTTGAGTCTAGTCTCAAAACGGTGTTAGACCAGAGGACGCCAACAAACCTCTCAAGGATGATATCGGTCGCGAAAGCCTACGTGTGAAACTATTTTCTGATTGTATGGAGTGGAGATGTAGGAACAATAATGTCGTCATCTCCTTTCAATCTGGGGGGTTGGCGATCCAACAACCTCCTTAATCCATCACAACTTTCTAATTCGATCAGTCAAAGACAAAACAAGTCGAATGTTACACGGCACTGGGTACTGTTCATCTCTGTTCCCAAATGAGTGATTGGTGGAGACTGCATATTACTATTGGTCTCTGAAGAGCAAACCTTTTGGTGAATTCCCACCAATTGCCACAACCCTGTTAGGATGATTGGCTCGGCTGACCCCTGAATGGGGTTTCAACTTATGTATTCCTGCTGGAAGGCAGCCACTCTGACAGTCTCATTAGCACGAGTGACCAGGGAAGAACAATTCTGCTGGGTTAAGACCTCCCCATGTTGTGTCTTGGTGGGTGATTGAACATTCTACGCCACACTGGTCAGTGGGGGCTTGTGGGTTGACCGGTTCAGATATCACTCGCCACCAATGTTAGCAAGGACTGGGACTCGAACTCAGGCCGCTGGGTTCAGAGCGCAGTACGCCAACCACTGCGTCATCGCCCCCCCACCCTCCATTGAAGCACAGAATAATTATTGGGTCAGTTGTCTGTTTACTTCCGCGAGATTATTTATATTCAGGCTTATATTCATTCACCATCTGGACCCAGCCAAGACACCCTTTGAACTTCACTGCCGACCAACCCACACCCTCGCCTGCACAGCGCCCTCAGCTGGATGGACAGCTAACCGCAGCCCTTTTTCAGGATTTCATTTGGCCTTTTCACATTGGCTCATTCTGGCAGCATTGGTTAACTGTCTTCTACTGCTGCTGCATCCTCGGGTGTATGCAGGCATGCAGCTGTGACTATGTAACAAACAGATGAGGGAGGGAAAAATATATATTCCATGGCGGACTTAGCGTAATCTGATAGGGGCACGACCTCGCAATCTGCTATACTCGTTACGCCCCAGGGGACAGGCAAGAACCTGTTTATTTGGTGGTGTCAGCGTTTGAAATAAGTCTCGGTCACTTCACACGGGACCTTGAACTGCCATAATTGAACAAGTGGCTGCAATTAGGTTCTCAAGCGCAATTAGATTCCGATTCATCGTTGCAAAAGTGTGAAAATAGCAGGATTCTCTGCACCACACGACACTGATGGACAACATTAGGGTAAAAATGAAAAATTGTCAAATTAATTTTGCACAATGCTTACTCTCCGCAAATACTTTTAGCACAATTGCTCACCAGATTTAGCACTTATGCATGACAGAGTTGTTTTAAAATAAATAAATAACAATGCAAATATGGGGGCTACTCCAGGTCTTTCCACTTACAGTCTCACATATTTTTCTTGTAAAAAAAAACAGAAATTTAGTGCTCAAAAATTCACACGCAAAACCACATGCATGCACAGAGCAACGATCCAGTACGGCTCCGTAATCTCTTAATACAGTAGGCTAAACTGCATAATCCCTATCGCATGGAAAATGCAGACGTCAGATTGGGATGCCAGGTGCATGCTGTAGGAAAACTGAAAATGTATAATTTTAACGCAATAAAAATTAAACTTGTCTTTGTGCAAACGCCAACATTTTCAGACCAGAAGGTTGAAAGCGATACCATTTACATTCAGCACGTTCGAAAGTCTACATTTTTGTTTCAAGTGTATGCGAAGCAGATAAAATAACAAGAGAACGAGGAATGTGGGCCATGTTTGGCTAAACTGAAAAGAGATGGGCGATGAAGGGTCACGCGAGGTTGATGGTGCGAGGCTTGCAACAGACATTACGTACGGTCCTGGAGGAGTTGCAGAGGAGAAACCGCTTCATTTTTCGGCACCGGTTCAAGCCGTCGGCGAAAAGCCCTTCCTGCCAGCTCCCGGCAATGAGAGGCAGGCGAGCGAGCCCACGAGCATCCCCCCCCCCGCCCGCCACGGCCTGCCGCCCCACGGACCCCGACGGAGCTTAGCAGCCACCGCCGGAGCGGCGCTACCCTCCCCCGAGCGACCTCAACCCCGCCACTCGCTTCTCCCCACCAGCTAAAAGCCGCAAGCGCGCAAAGCTCCGCGCTCCTGAGACTCTCTCTCACTTTCCCTTGGGCGAAGCGGGCATACCCTGGGCATGCATGGGCACTGCGTAAAACACACAGCTGTTACGAATCTGCGAATGTGCCGCCGCCGCCGCCGCCGCCGCCGGACGGACGGACGCACGCTGCCGCTGTCGGCGCAATCGAAGTGCTCACACGGGTTTTCTCCCCTGAAAGACGCCGCTCGGATTCGCTCACTGACGATGGCATGACAGCGTTCTGCTGCCTACTCTTGAGTCCCTAAAACCTTGCTCTTCTCCAGCCCCGGCGCTAATGCGCTATCCCCCACCCCCCACCCTCTCCCGCTGCTTATCAATCCGGCACGCTGCACATCGCAGCGGCTGCGATGCGCTGCGCTCTCAGGCAGACGATACAATGGTTAAAACATTTAATAGTCAACTCACGGCTACAGTGAATTCCTGCCACAGCCACAGGCTATGGACGTACAGCGCGACAAAGGTAAACCCCCAAAACTGTTTGCTCCGTGCTCGTTTCACTGAAGCTTAACCTTTTAACTAGACCCGGCTCCCTTTGCAACCATTTCTCTTTATGCATTGGCTGCTTTCAAGTGCCGCGGTAGACACAGCGGAAAGAAGTGAGCCACGGACACATGCACACACGCACACACGCACGCACGCACGCGTGCACAGAGGCTTATCTGTTAATCAATTTCCCTGGGCTCTCAACTGATGCAGCGCAAGCCCTCACACGTTTCACCCACCCGTTTCACGCACACCCGGCGCCCGAAATCCGCCCTCGGCCAAAGACACCCACAGTATGAAATTCTATCACGCGAGTTGTCTTGCTGACATCCGCACGGTCAATGCAGAGAGAGAGAGAGAGACGGGGCGCCCAGCGCCCAGCTGCCCGCAGCTTCTCTCTCCCTGTCCGTGCCTGTGTTGTATGGTCGCTCCCCCCCCCCCACCCCCCCCCCCCCGCAGAATGCAGACCCTTATTTAACGCCTACCATAATCCCCGTCTCCCCACGGACAGCCAGTGGCCAATCCCAACCCCACCACGACAATGCTGTCAGTGGAGGCTGGCCAATCAGCCTCCAGATTTGTTGTTACTTTTTTTTGTTGTTGTTGCTCACCCACCCATTCCCTCGCTCCTGCTTTCTTTCTGAACAAGATATCACACCATCCTTTCCAAAGTTCCAGTTTGCCAGTGTCACGCAATCTTTCCGAGACCCTGACCGCCACTCCCCCGTCCCTCGACCCCCCCACCCCAACACCTGCCCCCCCCCCCCCCCACCGGTCCCTATCCTTTACACTCCCATAAAACCTCCCAATCCATCCCCTCTCGGTGACCATTACAAGTTTAGGTCCTGACCAAAAATTTGCACGCAAAAAAACTGCGGGCGCCCGCTCACACCCCGAGTCAACCCGTACACCATGCACACGAATCGTTAGCGTTGATGGGTGCGCGGGTGGTGGCTTCAGCCCTCCGGCTTCGATTCTAACGGTCCAGCCGCAGTGCCAACTGACACGGCAGCTGCCGGCCGACAGGCGTGCCGGCACGCCCGGGGCGAGCTAAATCTGTTGCCGCCGTTCACGGGCGTTCCTCTGGGACATTATCACGATTAGAGAGATCAGCACTGATGGCCTCTCACGGAGGATAAGGGCTAATGAAATCCGTTACGCTGCCAGGTGGAGCTTTGCCCAATTTGGGGGTCCTCAACTCGCCTCCGACATTCGCTATCGGCTGCCATCGCACGGACAACGCCGTGTTGGGGAGCGACTTGTAAACGAGCGCACGTGAAGACCGTAGGTTGTCTGCGACGAGTCAAACGACGCTCGGGCAAAAAACAACGCAACATCTGTTGACTCATAGTAGATAGAGGTATATAAATACGTCCATGAGATATTAAATTTGCTTTGTGAACAATAACACCGCACACTGAATGCAAATTCAATTAACATCTACGCAGTGGTTCATTTCAGATTCATCGTTGTGCCAAGGCCCTTCCTGCATGGCTCCTTTGGATTTGTAATGCATTAATGCAGGGGACAGCGAATTGATCGCAAAAGGCAGAAAAGCTAAGCATTCTTAATTCGCATTGTTTTTGACCTTTTACATTTCACCCTGTCATTGTACCTTGACTGAGCATCGCAGCAATGAATGGTGAATTAAAACCTCCACACTGTGCATGTGGTCTTCTGCATCCATGCTGCTGTGGTGAAAACAAAAATCTGCAATGCCTTTGAAAGGTTCCACCTCGATTTACACACAATTAGGGATAAAACAGAGCTGACCACATTGGACAGAGAATGGGAATTCAATAGCAATTTCCACAGCCTGTGCCGACTGAAGAGCCTAGCGTAGAACATTCGTGCAGCTCCTGCAACACGCTGACCACTGTGAGCCGGTTTGCATGAGGTCATCGGTTCGATTCTTTGCCACCGGCTGGGGAAGTTCTGTGGGGAATTTCCCAAGTACATCTTCTGCTATAAAGAGGACATTAAAGACCCCCCATAGAATCACTATTTACAAGCAGAGACCATTGCACGCCAATGTCATAACCATCAATCTAAAAATGAAAATCATTGGCAGAGTGGGGAAAGCTACGAAATAACTGCTAAATATAAGTACTTTACGATAATAACCACCACCCCTCCCCCCTTTGATGAGGTAGCGGCTAGCGCACTGTGCTATGAACCAAGTGACCGATTCTCTGCCACGGCTAGCATTAATGGCAAGTGATATCCGAACTCACCTTGCCCACCCCTCTATTTTACTAATTTGCACGAGCCAGCTTGGTGAAGTATGGTCGAACAGCACCCCCATGAATGACATAGCATGGGAAGCCCTCCATCTAGCCCTTGCATTTCAGACTGTAAATTGTTGTTTCATTGTTTCAATAAATGGTTAAATAATAGGCAACAATTTTAAACGCAAATCTAACGTTTTCCCAATATCTGAACGTAAACAACCTCGATTCTCAAATTATGAATTCGAAAGCATGGTCATGCAACTGGCAGTGATCCCTAAAAGATGTCAGGCACGACTACTTTGTGCAATAGCTCAGGAGAGGAGGGCAGTTGCTGTGGCATTGTGGTGTGTGACATCTCCTGAATGGCGAATGGGATGAACAAGGTCATGTTATTCAGCTGCACAGAAAAACAAAACTTTTCTAAAAGGGCCCTTCTAAGGTCTGACCCTTGTTGGACGTGCATACCGGGAGCATGAATCCTCAAATACAATGATTACATCACACTGCTGGGCACTCAGTAGTCTAATCCTGTAAATATTTGTTTACAAGTTATTTGATTTGTTGCTTTTTTTAGGAGAGTTAATTGGAAGCTCAACCTATTTTCTAAAAAATGTTGCATTAGGGAAGAAACTGCAGTGCCTAAGAAAAAAAGGAATATGCATGCTAACGAATAACACGCGCAAACAACTGTCACAGATGTATCAAACATCTACTGTATTGAAATTTACTGTCATTCATTTCATCATCATCAGCCATGTTCAATCCCCTACTGGGTGAAGGCCTCCTCAATCAACTGCCATCTCTCACAACTCTGGGGCTTAAATAATCCACATAGCACCTGCACACAAGCTGATATCATCTCCATCTCCCCGGTCAGGTGCTCGCCCTGATGTTTATTCCTGACCATCATCCATCATTCCTTCTCGTCACATGTATTGCCGAAGCAAACAGACTTTTTTTAAGAGCCTAAATTATGTCAGTTCGCATATGTTCTCTATTTCACGTGGCTCTTTTTATGCCTTTCAACGCAATTCAAAGCGTGGATCTCTCTGCGCTTCTTTGCGCGCTTTCATTTATTTACACAAGACATATTTACCGTCGCCTCTATTCATGTGGGCGTGGGCGTTGTGTAACCTGTACATTAATCATTTTTCATAGCTCCATCGCCACCACACCGCATTCCGTTCGGCAGTTTAAACCAAAACTTTGCCCACAGGTGAGTGCCTGGTGTTTCTATTATACAGGAGAGGGAGGCACTTGGCTGAAATAGGGAACCGATGACCTTGACACTGCACCAAGCTGGGAGAGATCAGCGAAAAAATGTGCGGCCTGCTCCGTATATATATTAAAAAAAGGTGCTGCACATGGAACGCATTGAACGGTGTCAGCCCGGTTTCTGATGACGACATGAAAAATACCCATCCTGAAATGGCACTGGCACCTGATTTGGAGTACTCGGCCCTGAGAGGACAGAGTCGTGACAGAGATGGAACGAAGTGGTAACTCGCTTCTTCAGCACGGCGGGCAGAGTTGGGGAGGGGGTGGGGGAGCGAGCAACAGAATTGAACGAGACGGCGGGAGATGTCTCGAGGTGTCTCGGCGTGGGAATGTTCCCGGACTGGAGGAGTTTTTTTGAGCACGAGTGAGTGGTGGGATTCGAGTGACTCCTTGCCCACTGAACATATTTTTTGCAGTTTTTTTTGGCACACGCACACACAGGGATAGGTCAGTCGATGATGATAAAAAAAGAATAAAGTCTTACATGCTTGTATAGGCTTGTTTTCAAAGCGGATTGTAGAAATGCTATTGTATTTCTTCTCTCCTGCCACTCTGTATGTAGGTAGATGCTTTCAGGCAATACACGAAGGGTATTATGAATCTGTGTTTTAAGCCAACCTGCCCAAAATTTTTACTTGCTCTGTAATAAATGTCAATCTTCCCGCACCCATGGCTCAGATTCCAAATGAAAACCTGTCAAATCGGGTGTGACGCACCCCAAGGCTAGCACAGCTGTTAAATATCCTTAACCCTTCTGTATCCCTCCATAACTTACATTACCGTACTGCTGTGTGTTGAACCACTGCTGTGTCTGTCCAGTTTCTACGCGTGCAGACTTTACGTTTATGTACTGTATAAGCGTGTAGCCTGTCAACTTTTGGCGCACGATGCTAATTGTTCGTATTTAGTATTCACAGCATATCGCTCGCTACAAGTTTAATAAATAAATAAGTACATCGATGTGCACAATGATGCTGCTTGTTAACAATGTTGCACCGCCACACTTTGTGAGAAAATCATTAAATGCTCGTGGCACATTTGCGTTTCGAATGCAAGCACGTGAAATCACGTACATTCACGTGTACGATGTTTGAAAGTCACGTTTAAATGGTCTGCCAGTCACTGAGCAGTGTTCTCATAAGTTTTCGATGAAAGAAGCGGTGTTCGCACAAGGTTCCCACGGACCATCAGGACCGTGACTTTAATTAATATAGTGAAATGAAGTTAATTAATGAGTTCATTACTATTCCATTTTTCTACGCCTACCACCGTGCCAAGAATTTTCTATAAAAGCTGGTGACGTCAGTGCAAGTCAGTCCGGCTTTGCTCTTTCTGCACGCCTTTGTTTTGGAAACACTTTTCATTAAGATAACCTTTCACGTGATGTGTAATCGCACGGTGGGTAAAAAAAAAAGTACTTATTTTACCATTTAATTGAAACGTAGCCATTGTGCTCTTTCAAGCATGGTATTTCTTAAATTCGCAGGCATTTGTGGTATCAATTACCATTTACAGTTTGCCTTTCCTCCCAAACAAACACAAACAAACGTCTTTACCACTTTTCGAATAAAATATTCCGCATCGAATAAACTGCTGGAATGACTCCACACAACCGTTAATCAGGGTGAAAATTGACTTGGCATATTTTTCGAATTACAAATATGAGTATACAGCCCCACATAAATTACATAATGACATCCAGTCACACTGCAGGCTATGTATTTATATTGAACCTCTTTCACACCATAAGTAGCTAACCGTGCTAATCGGATGGTAATTGTTTATCAGCAAAAATGTTGGGGGGGGAAAAAATCCATGAAAAGTCGCATGACCCCCCAACTTTTCACGATTTCATTTTTGGTTACACTTCGCACGAATGTACCGAAAATAAATGCAGAACAGTATATTCATAGCAGTTATTTAA